ATTTTTTCTTACAGTGCTTAACTGGGATTTTAAGATTAAAACCTAAATGATTCTGTAACTCTCCTGAGCATCCTTTTGGCCTCTTTAACTCAGACTTTTTCATGTTTACATCAGTATATAGTAGGGAACCTGTTGTTACAAAATTAAAGTAACTGGAGAAATGACAAAAAGATGGAACCACTTCATACACAGTATCATACCAAAGGATAAGTAATGTAAGAATTCATACCTTCATGAATGAAAATATGTGCTAAACCAAAAATATGACATAGGAGATGATATGGCTATGCTTTACCTTGTGGCACTGTTAATGGTACAGCAGAAGACAAGGATGTTGACAGCCTAGTGGTGAAAGGAACTGATGTAGTGCGGGTAGTGGTTAGTGGTGTTGTTCGCAGAGAAGTCCTTTCTACTGACTCTGTAGAAGCAGTAGTAACAACACTGGGTGCAAAAGAAATCGTTGTAGACAAAACAGTTGGGCTCAAAACTGGAGTGGATGCGGGAAAGACACTGGTAGGCACTATTAATGAAGATGTTTTGCCATGTGGAATAAATGTGGTGTTTGGGGAGGAAAAATATGTACTGCTCTTAGCAGACCTAAAGGTGGAAGTAGTGAGGGGTGTAGGCTTAGGGCTGGTGGTTGGGGCTGATGTGGAGGAGATTGTGGAAGGAGTGGCAGACGGCAGCTGGGTACTGATAGGGCTGCTGGGGACAGGCACGGGGCTGGAACTTGGAGATGCCCTTGTAGGGGGGACCTTTGTGCTGCTTGTGGTGATGGCCTCTCTGGAGGCAGAGATCTTGGAGGTGCTGCTGGCGGAGGTGGTGGCGGCAGTGGTCTTGTGCGTGGTCAGAGGTGGCACGATGTGTGGCATGGTTGTCTCTGTGTGGGTGAAGGCTGCTGGGAAGAAAGCACACAGTGACACACACTAGTAGACCAAGACAGGAAAGGAAAGGAAGTAGGCAAAAGGACTGGGCTGGGAGCATGTGCAAGAAAAGCAACCCTGTAAAGTGTGGAGTTTTGTATGGAAAGAGGAAGAGTTGAGTTTCTGTTTTCTTCCCTAAGGAGGTGGGCCTCCTGCTTAGACCCATTCAGCACACAATGTGTGTTCCATTCAGCAGTGGGCTGGTCCTGGCTTCATGCCAAGTGCTCAACAGCTGCACCCTCACTTCCAGATCAGCAGGAATGGGGATAGAATCAGGAGCGCAACTGAAGTGAGAGCACCTACGAAAACAAGTGCCCAAGCAGTCTGTGCTGCTATGAAGAAAAGGTGGGAGGAAGGAAGGCTGGAAGGAGGGAAGATAAAAATGTGAAGGCTGGGAAAATGAGCAGGACAGGGGAAAGGCCAGGAGCAAGCCTTACCAGGCTGAGAGGAGATCCGCCAGGTTGAGGACACAGTTGGTAAGGAGGAATATACAGCTGAAGACATTGGGCTGGTTTTGGCAGTGGAGGGTGCAGAGGACTCTGTTGCAGGTGACTCTCTCGGAGCACTTGTTGTCCAGGAAGAAGGCTTGGGCCATAGAGTTGTAGGTGTTGGCTTGGGACTGGTGGTTGTGGCTGATGTGGAGGAGACCGTGGAAGCAGGAGTAGGTGACAGCCAGGTGCTGAGTGAGCTGCTGGGGACAGGCGCAGAGCTGGGACTTGGAGACATACTTGTGTGGGAGACTTCTGTGCTGCTTGTGGTGATGGCCTCTCTGGAGACAGAGGTCTTGGAGGTGCTGCTGGCAGAGGTGGTGGCAGTGGTCTTGTGCGTGGTCAGAGCTGGCATGATGTGTGGCATGGTTGTCTCTATGTAAGTGAAGGCTGTTGGGAGGAAAGCACAGGTCTACTGAGGGTGACCAGGTAAGAGGGGAAGGCAAAGGCAGTAGGCAAAAGTCCCAGGCTATGGGCATGTGCAAGAAAGGCAGAGACTGGCTGTACAGAGTCTTGCCAGGCAAAAGGGAGGAGTAGGTCGCTGCCTTCTGCCTTCATCCTCCAACCCAGCTTGTCCCTCAAAACTGGGGAAAAATACCCCAGCTGAAGAGTTCCTTCCAACAAGTAAGCACCGTCTGCCCATCCAAAGATAGAAACCTTTCCAAACGTGTGCGTTTTCCTTGAAGGAGCAGGCACACTGTAACCACTGCCCCTTCCACACAGTAGCCTAGGCTCTGTGGGAGAGACTTGTGCCTCATGGCCTTTTCCAAGGCAGGTCATGGCATAGTACTGATGCCAAAGGAAGAGGGAACAGGGAGAAAAGACAAAACAAATTCCCAAGCAGTCTGTGATACTTGGAAGAAATAAGGCAGGAATGACAGAAGCGTGATCTCTGGGAACAGAAGGCAGAACAGTGCGAAGAGAAGAGGGACCCTTACCAGGCTGAGAGGAGATCCGCCATGCTGAGGACGTGGCTGAGGAAGGGGAAGAGGCAGGTGAAGGAGTTGGGCTGGTTTTGGCTGTGGAGGGTGCAGAGGACTCTGTTGCAGGTGGCTCTCTCAGAGCACTTGTCTGGGAAGACAGCTTGGGCCATAGAGTTGTAGGTGTTGGCTTGGGACTGGTGGTTGTGGCTGATGTGGAGGAGACTGTGGAAGTAGCAGTAGGTGGCAGCCAGGTGCTGAGGGAGCTGCTGGGGACAGGCATAGAGCTGGGACTTGGAGATGTCCTTGAGTGTGGGACTTCTGTGCTGCTTGTGGTGATGGCCTCTCTGGAGACAGAGGTCTTGGAGGTGCTGCTGGCAGAGGTGGTGGCAGTGGTCTTGTGCGTATTCAGATGTGGCACGATGTGTGGCATGGTTGTCTCTGTGTGGGTGAGGGCTGTTGGGAGGAAAGCACAGGTCAAACGAGCGTGACCAAGTAAGAGGGGAAAGCAAAGGTGGTGGGCAAATTTCCCAGGGTGGAGCTCCTGTGCAGGAAAATCAGCCTCATTACATACACATGGTGTCTTGTGGGGCAATAGGAAGGCTGGGCTTCTGTTTCCTTCCCTAAACCTCCCCATCCTGCTTAGACCCACTCAGGACCAATGTGTGTACCAGTCAGCAGTGGGTTGGTCCTAGCTGTATGCTAACTGCTCAACATCTGCTCTCTCACTTCCCCATCAGCAGGAATGCGAAGAGAATCAGAAGTGCAGAAGGAAGAAAAAACCCACATGCATCCAGGTACACTCAGTTTTCAGAATATACCAAAGAAAAATCAACTGAAACCCCCACAAGGTGCAAAAGGAATCACCACATTCCCCAAAAGACCAAAGCCCAGTCAGTCTCCCAGCAATGGGGATGGCATTCTTGGTATGGAGAATCAACTTTGTCCTTCACTTTACCTCAGGATCCTGGTTATGTCAATGACCAACACTTGGCCCATCTTTACCCACATTGTAATAGGCAGGAGAAGAAATGGAGAAAACCTGGATGCTGTGCATACACTCCACAGCAACACCTAAAGCATAACTGGTATCAACACTGACAAGGACATGCACCTACAACAGGACCAGACAACCTGCTGGAAATGAAAATCACATCCATCCCAACCACAGTCAGTCTAGCAGGTTCCAAGGTAACCAAAGGCAGAGGGAACAGATGGCCAACAGACAAAACAAATGCGCAACTCCCATATGGCTCTGGAGGGCATGGATGGATGGATAGAACAAAGGAAAAAAGGAAGCAAGCATGACAGCTGGGAACAGAAGGCAGAGCAGTGGAAAAGGCAGGAGGGGGCTTACCAGGCTGAGAGGAGATCTGCCATGTTGAGGACACAGTTGGTAAGGAGGAATATACAGCTGAAGACATTGGGCTGGTTTTGGCTGTGGAAGGTGCAGAGGACTCTGTTGCAGGTGACTCTCTCAGAGCACTTGTCTGGGAAGACAGCTTGGGCCATAGAGTTGTAGGTGTTGGCTTGGGACTGGTAGTTGGGGCTGATGTGGAAGTAACAGTAGGGGGCAGCCAGCTGCTGAGCGGGCTGCTGGGAACAGACACAGAGCTGGGACTTGGAGATGTCCTTTTGTGGGGGACTTCTGTGCTGCTTATGGTGATGGCCTCTCTGGAGACAGAGGTCTTGGAGGTGCTGCTGGCAGAGGTGGTGGTGGTGGTCTTGTGCGTGGTCAGAGGTGGCACGATGTGTGGCACGGTTGTCTCTGTGTGAGTGAAGGCTGTTGGGAGGAAACATGGGTCAGTTGAGGATGACTGGGAAAGAGGGGAAGGCAAAGGCAGTAGGCAAAAGTCCCAGGCTGTGGGCATGTACAAGAAAAGCAGAGTCTTGCTGTAGAGAGTCCTGACAGGCAAAAGGGAGGAGTGGGTCGCTGCCTTCTCCCCCTGCTCTATCCCAGTATGTGCCCCAAAAGAAGGGAACAAAGCACCTGAAGGTCCCTTCTAATATGCAAGCACACTCTGCCTCTCCAAGGAGAGAAGCCTCTCAAACTATGTGTGTTTTCCATAAAGGAACAGGCACACAGTAACCACTGCCCCTTCCACACAGTAGCCCAGGCTCTGTGGGAGAGACCTGTGCCTCATGTCCTTTTCCAAGGCAGGCCATGCCATGGTGTTGATGCCAAAGGAAGAGGGAATAGGGAGCAACTACCAAAAGAAATGCCCAAGCAGTCTGTGATACTTGGAAGAAACAAGGCAGGAATGACAGAAGCGTGATCTCTGGGAACAGAAGGCAGAACTATGCGAAGGGAAGAGGGACCCTTACCAGGCTGAGAGGAGATCCGCCATGTTGAGGATGTGGCTGAGGAAGGGGAAGAGGCAGGTGAAGGAGTTGGGCTGGTTTTGGCTGTGGAGGGTGCAGAGGACTCTGTTGCAGGTGACTCTCTCAGAGCACTTGTTGTCTGGGAAGACGGCTTGAGCCATAGAGTTGTAGGTGTTGGCTTGGGACTGGTGGTTGTGGCTGATGTGGAGGAGACTGTGGAAGTAGCAGTAGGTGGTAGCCAGGTGCTGAGTGAGATGCTGGGGACAGGCATAGAGCTGGGACTTGGAGATGTCCTTGTGTGTTGGACTTCTGTGCTGCTTGTGGTGATGGCCTCTCTGGAGACAGAGGTCTTGGAGGTGCTGCTGGCAGAGGTGGTGGCGGTGGTCTTGTGCGTGGTTAGATGTGGCACGATGTGTGGCACGGTTGTCTCTGTGTGGGTGAGGGCTGTTGGGAGGAAAGCACAGGTCAAATGAGCGTGACCAAGTAAGAGGGGAAGGCAAAGGCAGTGGGCAGAAATCCTTAGCTGGGGCCACATGACACAAAGGCAGTGTCTTGAGTCCTCCCAGGAAAGAGTGAGGCATGGGCCTCCACCTCCTATATCTAAACTGCTAACCAAGAATGTCCCCCCAAATAGGGGAAAAAGGACAGCACTTGAAGGGTTCCTTCCAACATGCAAGCACCCTCTGCCTCTCAAGGGAGAGAAGCCTATCCAAATGTGTGTTTCTCCCTCAAAGGAACAGGCACAGTGAAACAACTGTCCCTTCCCAGAAAAGAGGGAAGTCTCTGTGGGAGAGACCTGTGCCACACGGCCTTTTCCAAGGCAGGCCATGCCATAGTACTGATGTCAAAGCAGGCAGGAACAGAGAGTAACTACCAAAACAAATGCCCTAGCAGCCTGTGCTGCTAGGAAAGAAGGAAGAAAGGAAGAAAGAAGAAATGTGGAAGGAAGGAATTGTGGTAGCTGTGAAGAAAAGGTAGGACAGTGGGAAAGGCTGGAGGCAGCTTTACCAGGTTGAGAGGAGATCTGCCATGTTGAGGACATGGTTGAGGAGGGAGAAGATGCAGGTGAAGACATTGGTCTGGTTTTGGCTGTGGAAGGTGCAGAGGACTCTATTGCAGGTGACTCTCTCAGAGCACTTGTCTGGGAAGACAGCTTGGGCCATAGAGTTGTAGGTGTTGGCTTGGGACTGGTGGTTGCGGCTGATGTGGAGGAGACTGTGGAAGTAGCAGTAGGTGGCAGCCAGGTGCTGAGCAAGCTGCTGGGGACAGGCATAGAGCTGGGACTTGGAGACGTCCTCGTGTGTTGGACTTCTGTGCTGCTTGTGGTGATGGCCTCTCTGGAGACAGAGGTCTTGGAGGTGCTGCTGGCAGAGGTGGTGGCAGTGGTCTTGTGCGTGGTTAGACGTGGCACGATGTGTGGCACGGTTGTCTCTGTGTAAGTGAAGGCTGCAGGGAGGAAAGCGCAGGTCTACTGAGGGTGACCGGACAAGAGGGGAAGGCAAACACAGTGGGCAAAAGTCCAGGGCTCTGGGCATGTGCAAGAAAAGCAGAGTCTTGCTGTACGGCATCTTGTCAGGCAAGAGGGGAGGAGTGGGTCTCTGCCTTCTGCTCTCCTCCGCCAACCCAGCATGTGCCCCAAAACAGGGGGACAAAGCACCTGAAGGGTGCCTTCCATTAAGCAAACATCCCATGCCTCTCCAGAGAGAGACGTGCCTCCAAATGTGTGTATTTCCCTTGAAGGAACAGGCACAGTGTTAACTACTGCCCCCTCCAGACCAGAGGCCAGGCTGTGTGAGAGAAACCTGTGCCCAGTGGCAGATACCGAAGCTGGCCATAGCAAAGTACTGATGCCAATGAAAGCAGGAATGGAGGGCAACCACAGAAAAAAAAAAAAAATGCAGTAGCCTGTCCTACTATGATGGATGGCAGGTAGGAAGAATGGAAGTGTGGGTGGGAGGAAGAAAGGGGGCCTAGTAGAATTGAAGGTTGGGTGGGAGAAAGGAAAAACAGAGGGAAGAATTGAGAGAGAGATGGAATAAAAGATAGAAGGAAGGATGGAAACATAACAGATTGGAAGATAAATCAGACAAGTGCTAAGGGCAGGACTGAGCCTTACCTGGCTGAGAGGAAATCCGCCATGTTGAGGACAAAGTTGAGGAGGGGGAAGATGCAGGTGAAAATACTGGGCTAGTTTTAGCTGTGGAGGGTGCAGAGGATTCTGTTGCAGGTGACTCTCTCAGAGCACTTGTCATTGGGGAAGATGGCTTGAGCCATAGGGTTGTAGGTGTTGGCTTGGGACTGGTGGTTGTGGCTGATGTGGAGGACAATGTGGAAGTAGCAGTAGGTGGCAGCCAGGTGCTGAGCGAGCTGCTGGGGACAGGTGCGGAGCTGGGACTTGGAGACATACTTGTGTGGGAGACTTCTGTGCTGCTTGTGGTGATGGCCTCTCTGGAGACAGAGGTCTTGGAGGTGCTGCTGGCAGAGGTGGTGGCGGTCGTCTTGTGAGTGGTTAGACGTGGCACGATGTGTGGCACGGTTGTCTCTGAGTGAGTGAAGGCTGTTGGGAGGAAAGCAGAGGTCAACTTAGGGTGACCAGGTACAAGTGGAAGGCAAGGCAAACGCAGTGGGCAAATATCCCGGGGTAGGAATGTACAAGAAAGTCAGCCTCATTACACATTGTGTCTTGCGGGGCAATAGGAAGGCTGGGCTTCTGTTTCTTCCCTAAGCCTCCCCATCCTGCTTAGACCCATCCAGGACCAATGTGTGTGCCAGTCAGTAGTGGGTTGGTCCTAACTGCATGCTAAGTGTTCAACATCTGCTCTTTCACTTCCCCATCAGCAGGAATAGGGAGAGAATCGGAAGTGCAGAAGCCATAAAGCCCACATGCATCCCGATACACTCAGATTTCAGGACTGAAGATACTAAAGAGAAACAGACTAAACCCCCTATAAGGTGCAAAAGGAATCGCCACATTCCCCAAGAGACCAAAGCCCAGTCAGTCTCCCAGCAAATGGGTATGGCGTTCTTGGTATGGAGAATCAACTTGGTCCTTCACTTTGCCTCTGGATCCTGGCTGCGTCAACGACCAACATTTTGCCCACCCTTTAACCACATTGTAACAGACAGGAGAAGAAACAGAGAAAACCTGGATGCTGTGCAAGCACTCAGCCACATCTAAATCACTTGTGTGCTATCTATGCTGATGTGGACACATCTTTAACACAGCACCAGACAACCTGCTGTAAAAAACATTAGTTCCACCCCAAAGTCAGTCCACCAGGTCCCAGGTTGACCAAAGGCAGAGGGAATAGATGGCTAATAGCCAAAACAAATGTGCAAGTGCCTTACAGCTCATATGGGGAAGGAAGGAAGGATGGAGGGATAGATGGATGGATGTAAGCACGCATGCATGCATGCATGGATGGAAGCAAGACAAAAAGAAAGCAAGAAAGTAAACATGAATGTTGGGAACAGAAGTCAGGGTAGTTGGAAGAGTAGGAAGGAGCCATACCAGGCTGAGAGGAGACCTGCCATGTTGAAGACACAGTTGATAAGGGAGAATATGCAGATGACGACATTGGGCTGGTTTTAGCTGTGGAGGGTGCAGAGGACTCTGTTGCAGGTGACTCTCTCAGAGCACTTGTTGTCTGGGAAGACAGCTTGAGCCATAGAGTTGTAGGTGTTGGCTGGGGGCTGGTGGTTGGGGCCGATGTGGAGGAGACTGTGGAAGTAGCAGTAGGTGGCAACTGGGTGCTGAGGGAGCTGCTGGGGACCGGAGACAACCTTGGAGACATCCTTGTGTGTGGGACTTCTGTGCTGCTTGTGGTGAGGGCTTCTCTGGAGACAGAGGTCCTGGAGGTGCTGCTGGCGGAGGTGGTGGCAGTGGTCTTGTGCGTGGTCAGAGGTGGCACGATGTGTGGCAGGGTTGTCTCTGTGTGTGTGACAGCTGCTGGGAGAAAAGCACAGATCAATTTAAAGTGACAAGGTAAGAGGGGAAGGACAATAATACAGCCACTTTTGTGGTAGAATCTTCATGCTAGATTATGGGCAAGTAGGTCAGAAGCAAGTTTTGCACTTTCTTTTTTTTTCTTCCTTGGATGAATGAATATGGCCATGACCCCCAATATGTCTCATCCAATCCTGCTGCTTCTGAGATTTGCAGGCTGGTGATGATTTTTATATTTGCCATATATCAATTTGTCTGATTCTTCACAGAGGTCTTGATACAGGAAGAGGTATCTCTACTTTCACGTGCGATCCACTGGTTTATAGGTAGTTTACAATGTGCCTGCTTCAGACTGTGTTGGAAAGGATGCATGGGAGAGCCAAGGCTAGTGAAGGTACAGGCATTGGCCATGGATGTCTCTTAGCTCTCTCCTGACCAGAGCACTCACCTGTTACTACTTTACTAGTTGGAGTCCTAGCTCTTGTTGGCTCCCTTGCTACAAAGAAAGGGACGAGAGAAAAGAATGGTTGAGTCTTGGGAAAGAGTCTAGGCAAAGCATTTTGTGGCATCTCTTCAAAGGAGACTGTTCTAGTCAACACCAAGGCAACCCAGGCATGTGAAGCCCTATCAGTCTAAGTGGGATGACTTTAGTCTGGCATTGAGTGTACACCTTCTTGCCCACCCTCCACTGTTGAATCTTTTGCACACAGGAACAGCACTTGCCAAGGGGTTGGCATTTGTTGACCTGCATTTTCATGGCTGTGTCAGGGCCTGGACATCCTTTGGATGGAGAACTTGCCTTGTGTTCTGTCTCTCACCCAAAACTGTCCTGAGGTGTAAACTGGATATATGTTTCCAGTTTCACTGCCTTCTACTTCCCCCATTGTGCATTATCAGGGCATCACTGTAACTGGAGAGAGTGTATGTTAGCTTGTCTCTGTTTGCTAGTTGTAGGGTAGGAACCCATGCATGATTGTACCCTGACACCTCTGTGCCCCAGAAACAAATCCCTGAAGTGGTAAGGGAAGAAGATGCAGTCGGGGTCATGTGTGGGCCAGTCCCAACACCTGCCTGGAACCCAGGAGTCCCACGGCAAAAGCAGTGGGAATTAAGAATGAATACCAGAAGCGAAGCCTGTGTGGGATATGCTGCTTAGGAGAGCATGAATGGGTGGGAGCTGGAAGGAGCAGCTAGGCAGCATAAAGGACAGAAGGGAGCCTTACCGGGATATGATGGTCTCAATCGTGTTGAGGGCACAGTAGAGGAGGTGGAAGAAGCAGATGAGGCTGAGGTGGCAGTTAAAGAGCTGGGACTTGGAGACATCTTTGTCAGTGGGACTTCTGGGCTGCTGGCACGGACAGTCATTCTTGGGACAGAGGTGCTGCTGGTGGATGTGGCAGGGGTGGTCTTCTGCGTGATGTGATGCTGCACAAGTTGTGCCTTTGTTGGTCTTCTGTGGGTGACAGCTACAGAGAGAAAAGCACAGGTTGATTGAGGGTGGCACGGCAAGAAGGGAAGGCAAAGAAGTTGGGCAATCCCCAAGTAGAAGCTCCAGAGTATGAGTGAAGGTAAGAAAGGCAAGACCAGACCACACTGAGTCTTACTGGGCAAGAGGGATGAATGGACCAATGGCTGGCTTCCACTCCAAAAAATATATGGCAAGAACTGGGCCTGAAGGGTACCTTTACACAATTCAACACCCCCTGCCTCTTTCTGGAGGTCCTGAGGAAGTAAAAGTCTCTCTGGATGTGCATGTCTCCCCTCCAAGGAGTTTCAGACTGAGCAAGAACATCATCTGGAAAAGCTGGGGTAAGTGAAGCAGAATCTTAGGTCAAGGGCATCTCTCAGCTCCCTCTTACCCACTGGGACATGGTAGTGCATGAGTGGTTGCTTGGGTTCCCTCACTCTCTGTAAAGTAAGGAAGAATGGATATAAGTAATGGTTGGGAACTCATAAGGCTCCTAAAGTGGGTTGTGATATTTCCTCAGAGGATGCTGTAATTGCTGGCACAAGAAGATCCAGATGTGTGCACCTCAACAGTACTTTGTGGGAAACACTGGGACTGGGAGAGAGTGTACATTTGCCCTCTCACTAGAGTAGACTCCTCTACTGCACACTGTCCCAGCCTCTTGTGTCAGTTGCTAAATTAGTAAATGACTAGTTTAGCAATTCACGTTGTCATACAGCCACAGAGACTGTCCTTTTTGGCATATAGAGTACCTGACATCCCAAAGTAAAATTTCTTTCTTTATATATTTTTGGGGGGGGAGAATTTGTTAAAATAGCTAGGGAAACACATATTTTGCCAAGTTTTTGAGAACTTGATTTGAAGCATAGAGAGATTTTGCCTAAATTTGGAGGAAGTGTAGGGTATGGCCTCAAAAAGAAATGTTAGGTTTAAATGATATTTGGATGTCAGATGTTTGCTCCATTGGCAATACATAGAAATTTTCATTTTTATCACACGTCTTCAGTTATCCATGTACTTTCCAATTTATTTGCCATTTTGAGACAACTAGTAAGAATACTTGGGTTTTGGTTTAGTTTTTTTTAAATCCATTGATGTGCATCATGTAAATGGTGGCTTCACTTGGCAGATACCAAAAAGTCATATTTACCTTCTGTTGTTAGTTCAGGTTTGCTGAAAGTTGTGATCCAAGATGTGGTTTGAGTAGGTATTGAGGTGGTTGTAATTTCCTTTTTGATAGTGGTCTTGAAGGGTGATGAGGTGAACCTTACTTGTTCCGTCTCCGTTGAAGCAGTGGTTGATGAGGCAACAGATGTAGGCTTTGTTTTAGGCAGCATAGCTCTTTTTGTTGAGGTAGTTATGGAAGGGGTACTGATAGATGTAGTCATGTTTGGTGTGGTAAAAATTGATGTAGTATGTTCTTTTGGAGTAAAGGTAAATAATGTAACATGAGTAATCAGTTAATTGAATTTTTATAAATAGACAATTTATGAAGCTACCCATATTCCAGAAACCCAGTCTTCACCCTCAATCTTGTGAATATTTTCTGTGTAATTCTTTATATTCATGTTCTCACAAGCTTGCCAAATCTCTCCCTACTTGTATTTGTTTTCTGTTGTCTCATATCTTTCTTTCTTCTAATTTGCTGTATTTTTCCTGGGTTTTATATATTTTTTCTAAGAAGTCAGATTTTTTTTTTGCTAAAGTCTGTATGGGCTTTGCACAAATGACAATTTATTGGATATTCTTATGTTCCAAATCAGCCACAGATTTAGCTTTCCATAATTTGTACATACAAATTACAAAGCTACATACTATAGTATCTTCCTTGACCCAGTGTACAAATCATCTGTCACAATGGCAGCGTTTGAAATTGTGTTTTGTCTGCTATGGGACCATTTTTAAACTCTGCTTTCTTTGTTAGCTTGGGTCCAGGGTGGCTTATTAGTTGAAGAGCATGTTAGTGCGAAGCCACACATTATTATGAGTCTCCACAGTCATAGAATCAAAAAGTAATTTATGGTGGAGGAATCATCCTCCTGGGAGTAGGACTCTAGAGTCCTAAACAAAGCTGCTGCACTTGATACCTGTGTGATTCTGCTTTGGAGCCTGATTACATTATTCAGAGTTAATAGGTAGGGTACTCCTTGAATATGACTGCATAACTGAACCAGTTGTGGAAAAGAGGCTGAAGTTGAGCTAATAAATCCAGTTGAGCTGGTGCTTTGCTTGTAGAGCTTCTAATGTGCTTCTGGGATGAGGCACACAAGTGATTTTTGGTTGTGTTTTTAACCTAATGTCTATATCCTTCCTATTTCCATGCACTTTTGATCTACACTTCTGAACATTACTGGTTTACAGACTCCTTGATGGAACCCTAGTAGGCTTTGCCTGCTTCATTATTTGTAGTCTTACATTTGGATATTGAGACAGCTTGCAATGCTTTCTTAGTAGGGTGGTATCTCAACTATGTATAGAGTGAGCTTATTGTAATTTAGTTTAGACAGTAACACTAAAACCTTACTAGTTGTTGACATTATTTATTTTAGACAGTAGCACTAAAAACCTACCAGTTGTTGACATTATTGTGCCAAGAGGTGATGTTGGTGAAGTTACTGGAACCGTGATTTTTGAGGTTACTGTGGGATTTGTAGTCTCAGTTGATACAGTAGCTGCAGAAGAAGAAATACTAGGTACTACTGGTAGGGTACTTGCAATAGAGCTTCTTGATACTTTAGGCTGCGCTGTTGTTACTAAGAGACAAAAAAAATGTGATAATCTGTTTATAATACAACTATACAAATTGAAAATTGTTTTCTGAAGTAAAAACACTCTTAGTAACTATTAGTAGTAACTACTATTAAAAAACATTACCTTTTACATGAAACATTTTAGAGAAGTTATCCATCTATTCCTTTGCTACTATGTGCTGTGAATACATTAAACAGTAAAATAAAGAAAAATGCATAAAGCTTCTGCAGGAATGCAAGTGAATTTGCCATAAATATTTGTGCATAGCAGCAGAGATGGAATTGTATTTTATTATTCAGTCAGCTGATAGCATACATTTTCCTAATACCATCTGACTTTGGAGAAATTAATGGAATTTATGAAGACAGGCTAAGCAAGTTGGGGCTGTTCAGCCTGGAGAAGAGAAGGCTGCGTGGAGACCTCATAGCAGCCTTCCAGTATCTGAAGGGGGCCTATAAGGATGATGGAGAGGGACTCTTCAATAGGGACTGTAGTGACAGGACAAGGGGCAACGGGTTAAAACTTAAACAGGGGAAGTTCAGTTTAGATACAGGGAAGAAGGTCTTTCATGTTAGGGTGGTGAGGCACTGGAATGGGTTGCCCAGAAAAACTGTGAATGCTCCATCCCTGGCAATGTTCAAGGCCAGGCTGGACGAGGCCTTGGCTGACATGGTTTAGTGTGAGGTATTCCTGCCCATGGCAGGGGGGTTGGAACTAGATGATCTTAAGGTCCTTTCCAACCCTAACCCTTCTAATTTCTAGCAAACTTAAGATCAGTATATATAGATTCCTTTCCTGGATGAGGCTATAGGGATTTGGTATGGTTGGTCATGCATTTCCACTAAGACCTTCCTAAAATTGTTGAAGTGTAATACAGACAATCATCACTAGGAATGGTGATGAATTTTTTGTAGAATCATAGAATGGTTTGGGTTGGAATGGACCTTCAGACGTCATTTAGTGCAACCACCCTTGCAACCAGCAGGGACATCTTCAACTAGATCAGGTTGCTCAAAGTCCCATACAGCCCAACATGGAATGTGTCATCCACAAGCTCTCTGACATCCTATTCCAGTGTTTCATCATAGAAAATGTCTACCTAGTCTGAATCTACCCTCTTTTAAGGGTAAAACCACTACCTCTTGTATTATTGCTACAGGCCCTGCTAAAATACCTGCTTCATCTTTCTTATAAGCTCCTTTCAAGTACTGAAAGGCCACAATAAGATCTCTGTGGAGCCTTCTCTTCTCCAGGCTGAACACAACTCCAACTCTCTCAACCATTCCTCATAGCAGAGGTGTTCGCTCCCCCTGATCATTTTTGTGACCCTCCTCTGCACCTGCTCCACCAGGTCCATGTTCTTCCCATACTAATAAGGGCTCTACAGCTGGATGCAGTCTTTAGGTGGTGTCTCACCAGAGAAGAGGAGAGGGGCAGAATCACCTCCCTTGACTCACTGGCCTATGCTTATTTTGATGCACCCCAGGATATGGTTCATTTTCTGGGCTGTGAGTGTACACTGTTGGCTCACATACAGTTTTTCATTCACCAGTAACCCCAAGTCCTCTTCAGGGCTGCTCTCAATCCCTTCACCCCCCAGCCTGTACTGATACAGGGAGTTGCCCTGACCCAGGTGCAGGACCTTAAACTTGGCCTTGTTGAACCTCATGAGGTTCACAAGGGCCTACTTCTTGAGCTTGTTCAGGTCCCTCTGAATGCATCCTACCCCCTGTCATCCACACCACTCAGCTTGCTATAATCTACAAACTTGGTGAGACTGAGCTCAATGCCTCTGTCTATCAGAGACAACACAGAAGTCCTTATTCACTAACAGAGATATTTTATTACTGGGTATCTGGAAGTGCCTAAGTATACTCAGGAAACATCATTGTCTCATAATTTTTTTTTCTTCAGACATCTAGCAAGTATTTCTGGGTAAATATTTATGATAATTATGAAACCAAGTTATTTTTCATTATTGCATCTCCTGAATGTGAAACTGGCGATGCTACTATGTCATGCAAAAAAAGGACATTGCTTACCTTATATACACATATGAGGACATATATCAATGTATATGTACTAGTTTGGTCAACTACGTAAACTAACCTGTTGAAGGTGGAGATGTTTCAGGTGTGGTACTACTGATTGCATGTCCTGTTGTGTAAAGGTAAAACAGGTTAAGTATGTGAATGAAAGCATATTAAAAAATTCCAAATAAGGCAAATTTTAGATTGGATTCAAAGGATTGTGTTAATTAGTGAGATATTTCTGAAAATGCTTAATATTACATGTTTCAGTGGTAAACTTCACGTTGAAGGACTAAAATGACGAAGTCAATATATCTTATAATAAAAATGACTAAGTTCTTGCTAGCTTTCTTATGATTTTTATGCTTAAGGGAGTCTCACTTTTCAGGGATAATGGAGATACGCTTTTTATTTAGAAATAAGATTAATCACTGGCTAAGATTCTGATTACACAAGTTAGAATTCTGTAATGTGAGAAAAATTGTCCTTGGGTGTGTTTTATATCCGTATGAAAAAACAAACTGTGCAGCTAGAAACTATGCAAAACATTATTTAATATG